CCCAGCACAACCCCCCAGCGCAACCTTCCAGCACAACCCCGCGCACAACCCTCTGGCACAACCCCCTGGCACATTTTCCTAGCACAAATCCCTGGCACAACCCCCCAGCACAACCCCCACCACAAACCACTAGCACAACCCTTCAGCACAACCCCGGGGGGGATGTGCTGGGGGGTTGTGCTGGGGGGGGGGTACTCGGGGTATGTGCTGGGAGACTGTGATGCGGGGTTGTGCTAGGAAGTTGTGCTGGGGGGCTGTGCTGGGGGTTGTGCTGAAGTGCTGTGCTGGGGGGTTGTGCCGAGGGGTTGCGTTGGGGGTTGTGCGGAGGGGGGTTGTGCTGGGGAGTCGTGCTGTGCGTGTGTGTGTGTGTGTGTGTGCCGACGGGCCACTTAAATTATTACTCGTGCTCTCGCTGCTTGATGTCACCTGGTGCTCGCTGATTTAGGTACTCGTTTTGTTGGTGGCCCGCGGCCGTGCCACCGTTCTGTTATGCGTTTGTTTTCTGGTGTTCGGGGTTCTTTTTTGTTCATTCGCTGTTTTGTTCTAGACGGTCCGCCCGACGCTGGCCATCGTTTTCGCTCAAACTTCGTTTTTTAGCGAAAAGGAAGCGTGAACAGAAAACACTGTTCAGGTTGTGCCCTATTTCGCAACACGGATTTTCGACAAAAGCGTGCGCGCGCGCTCTTGCGTCATCGTCGTCGTCGCCGTTATCCCTCCTCCCTCGTTGTCGTCGTCGTCGCCGTCGTCGTCCGGTGTCTTTCCTCGTCGTCGCCGTCCTCCTCCTCTTTGGCGTCGTCGTCGTTCCCGTCGTCGTTGTCGCCGTGGTCGTCCGTCCTCCCTCGTCGTCGTCGTCGTCTTCCGTCGTCGGCGTCTCGTCGTGGTCCCTCCTATTTCGCCGCCGTCGTCGTCGTCGTCGTCGTCGTCTCCTCTCCTCCCTCGTCGTTGTCGTCGGCGTCGCCGTCCTCCCTCCGTCTTCGTCGTTCGCGTGGTCGCCGTCCTCCCTCCTCCCTCGTTGTCGTCCTCGTTGTCGCCGTCGTCGTCCTCCCTCCTCCCTCGTCGTCGCCGTCGGCGTCGGCGTCGGCGTTTTCGTCGTCGTCGTCGCCGACGTCGTCGTCGGCGTCGTCGTCGTCGTCATCGTCGGCGTCGGTGTCGTCGTCGTCGTCGTCGGTGTCGTCGTCATCGTCGTCATCGTCGTCGTTGTCGTCGTCGTCGGGGCCGTCGGAGTCGTCGGCGGTGTCGTCGTAGTCGCCGTCGGCGTCGTCGTCGTCGCTGTCGTCGTCGGTGTCGGTGTCGTTGACAAGTGCCATGTGGTACCTACCGTCACAGTCTTGAGAGGTCGATCTCATTCAACGGGACACCACAGGACACCGCGGGACACCTCTCGATCTCGCTATCGATCTCGCTGTCGATCTCACTCAACGGGACACCATAGGACACCACGGGACACCTCGGGACACCTCATCGATCTCAGTTTCGATCTCCTTATCGATCTCACTATCGATCTCACTCAACGGGACACCACGGGACACCACGTGACAACACCGGATTTTTTTCAATCTCTTTATCGATCGCATTATCGATCTCATTTGTTGGGACACATCGGGGCACCACGGGACACTTCGGGGAACCACATCGATCTCAGTATGGATCTCGCTATCGATCTCACGCAACGGGACAACACGAAACACCTGTCGATCTCACTATCGATCCCATTTTTTGGGGCACCACGGGACACCTCAGGGCACCTTATCGATCTCCGTATCGATCTCACTATCGATCTCACTCAACGGGACACCACGAAACACCTGTCGATCTCACTATCGATCTCACTTGTTGGGGCACCATGGGACACCTCGGGACACCACATCGATCTCAGTATCGATCTCACTACCGATTTCACTTAACTGAACACAGCGGGACACCACGGGACACCGCGAGCCAACGAAGGAGAGAATCATTTGTCTTGACTTCGCCCTAGCAACGGCGGACACCACGGGACACCACGGGACACCGCGGGACACCGCGGGACACCGCGAGCTACCGCTGGACGGGCGGGCGGGCGGGGGAGAATCAGTTGTCTTGACTTCGCCCTGGCAACGGCGGAATCATTCCTCTCGCGCGCCCACGCAGCTTCGCCTCGCCCGCGCGCACGACACGAAGGATACGAAATGATTATCCGATTGGGGGTCTCCGTTCCACTGCGATCTCACCCCCCAACCTCCGATATCCACAAGTGTATACATATACATACATACATATGGGTACGAGCGATATACACACATACATATACGCAGCCATACATTATTTCATACATCTCTTCAATGGGGACCCAGGGCGTCGCCCCCCCCCCCCCAGGCCAGCTATCTAGACGAATCCCCTAGAAATACTTCCCTTCTTCCCCTCCCGTCGCGCAGGCAGAGAACATCGCGAAGATCCGTGCCCGCCCGGGATTCACCGATGGCCGGACGAAGTGCCCAGCGACTTGCCAGGAGCGAGTTGTTTCTGTTCTGTTTGTTTTCTCCCCGCCACGTTTCCCATTACTCTCACTAATCCCTTTCCCCCCCCGTCCGCCACCCCGAACTACTTACGATCAGCATCCCGCTCCGAATATTTTCTCCCCCCTCTTTGAAGCAGTCGTTCACTCAGTCTCCCTCGCACCTTCACTTCTCACTCGCCTCCCCCACCCCTCCCGCCCCCCTTCACCCCCACAACCTAGAGGGATCACAACCCCACGGCCCTTGCTCATCAGGTGGTCCCGGAGCGATTGAAATGGTCAAGATTCAGTGTCCCATGTTCTCGGTTCACTGATCACATCCAAACGCGTAATTGGATGAGAGGGGCGCCATCCGCTAGCGTAGTTGGTAATAGATCAGTAAGAATAGCAATTCCTGGGCGCCAGAGCGTGAGTGCGACGTTGAACAGCAACGGTCTTGCTTCTTCGATATTGCGAGAGGTATTTGGATTCAGGATTTTCGCAGCGAAGAACTATGTATCGATCATCCTATCAGTTAGCTGCGGCAATTGTTCTACTGCGTTGTTTGGCACATGCAAGCTGCGCGTAGATTGCAAACGCATTGCCCCCATCCTCGTAAAGCCCTTGGTGGGAGTATTTCAGGGGACAGTGCGAGTTTGGAAGCATGCCGATATCCATCCGTACATATGGTTGACATATGGGGGGTTAGACGCACCGTGAGTAAAAGCGGATATATGGACTTTCTGTAGTATCCATTTGTGCATATTTTTCAAAGTTTGAGTTGTAGAATCATGAAGTGGGCCGTTGTGGCATGGCCCGTTCTCCATCCCTCTAGTTGTTAGGAGTGATGAGTTTCGGAGCTACCGAGCCTGAGAAAGCCTCGTGCGAAATGCACGGCCAAAGAGTCCCATACTTCTTGTGCTAAGAAGCCAGAGGTGTGGAGGGGCAGAGGTGTGGAGGGGCAGACAAGGAGGATGGAGGAGTGGTTGCCCTGGCGTTCTGAGAAGATGATAGTACATACTCGGGAAGGGTGGGGAGGGAACCCGAGATATATATATACCCAGCACCCCGCAATTGCGGATAAGAGTGAGGGGGCGGGCGCGGGCGACGCGGGCGTCGTCAAGCCGGCGGACCTCGTGGCCCCCACCTTCCTTGTCGATGGCGCTCTCCTCCTCCTCCTTCTCCTCCTCCTCCTCCTCCTCCTCCTCCTCCTCCTCCTCCGCCTCCTACTCCTCCTCCTCTTCCTCGTCCTCGTCCTCGTTCTCATCGTCATCGTCGTCCTCCTCCTCCACCTCGTCCTCCTCCTCCTCCTCCGCTTCTTCCTCGTCCTCCCTCTCCCCCCCTCGTCCTTCCATCATCGTCCTCCCATTGTCGTCATGTTCCTCCTCGTCGTCCTCCTCCTCTTCCCCCCCTCCCGATCCTCCACCCTCCTCCTTTTCGTCGTCGTCGTCGTCGTCGACGTCATCGTCGTCGTCCCCTTCCTCCTCCTCCTCCTCCTCCTGCTGCTGCCTCCTCCTCTGCTCCTCCTCCTGCTGCTCCTCCTCCTCCTCCTCCTCCTCCTCCTCCTCCTCGTCCTCCTGCAAAAGCAGCCCGCCGCAGGCGCCGAAAAAATTGGTTTGTACACTGAACGTGGTTTGGGTCGCGGGTGGGCCGCGGGTTCTCCACCGGGAACGAATGCAAAAGATGCTCGCCGCAGGCGCCGAAAAAATTGGTTTGTACCCTGAACGTGGTCGCGGGTGGGCCGCGGTCTCTCCACCTAGAACGATTCAAAAGATGCCCGCCGCAGGCGCCGAAAAATGTGGTTTGTACCCTGAACGTGGTTTGGGTCGCGGGTTGGTCGCGAGTTGATCGCGGGGTGGGTCGCGGGCTCTCCACCTGGAAGGAATGCAAAAAAAGCCCGCCGCAGGCGCCGAAAATGTTGGTTTGTACCTTGAACGTGGTTTGGGTCGAAGGTGGGTCGCGGGTGGGTCGCGGGGTGAGTCGCGGGTGGGTCGCGGGTGGGTCGCGGGTGGGTCGCGGGCGGGTCGCGGGTGGGTCGCGGGGTGGGCCGCGGGCGGGTCGCGGGGTGGGTCGCGCGGTGGGTCGCGGGGTGGGCGCGGGGTGGGTCGCGGGTGGGTCGCGGCGCGGGGGTCGCGGGTGGGTCGCGGGTGGGTCGCGGGTGGGTCGCGGGGTGGGTCGCGGGTGGGTCGCGGGTGGGTCGCGGGTGGGTCGCGGGGTGGGTCGCGGGTGGGTCGCGGGTGGGTCGCGGGTGGGTCGCGGGGCGCGGTTGCGGGTGGGACGACGACAACAAACAACAACAACAACAAACAACAACAACAACAACAACACGAATCCGCACCGCGGAATCTCACTTCAGCCACGCACCCAGGGACAATGAATGACCGTTCGGCCCCCTCACTCTGATATATATATATATATATATATATGTATATATAGAGCTAATCCTGTCGTTCGTGGGGGCGGTCTCAGCATCCCACCGCTGCAGCAAGGGGTATTCGGCGACGGGCCAGAGGACTCCGACCTCATCATGAGCTACACCTGCGCCGAGCTGAAGAAGAGAGGCGGGTCGCTGGAGGAGGGATGGACCCCCAGGACTTAGCATCGCTTGGACGTGTGCATTTTTCCTTCGGCGAGGATCATCGAAAAGCATCCTTGATCATTTGGCGAAAAAAAAACACGCACGAAGCCAACAAAAACACAGGAAATGGACGCCCGAGCGATGGCCAGAGGAGGGGTGAGGAGGGGGGGCAGTTGGTGCTCGTCCGTCATTGTTCTCTCTTCCCCCCTTTTCCCCATCCCTCCTTTTGCCCTCCCGTTCCCGCTCCTCCTCCTCCTCCTGGGCGCAGCGGCCGCGTCGACCGCGCCGCCCCCGCACACTCGATCGTCGGCTCCGCGTCGGATGTTTTTCTCTCCCCGCCGTCTCCCGACGAGGCCCCCCCCCGCCTTTCAGGAGGAGTCGGGCGGCCTGTCGGGGGTCTCCCGCCGTCCCCCGACGGGGGCCGGGGTCGGGCGGCCCGTCTTCTGACGAGGCCCCCCCCCCCGCTTTTGGGAGACGTTGTGGGGATCCCTTCGGAGAAGCCCCCCCCCCCCCCCACCTTCTCAGCGGGTTGGTTGCTGGGAGCTGTACCCTCCTTTGCCGGCCGCCCAGGCGAGGGGGGGAGGAGGAGGAGGAAGAAGGGGAGGCGCAGGAGGAGAAGAAGGGGGAGGAGGCGAAGGACGAAGGGGAGCAAGAGGGGGAGTGAGATGGGCGGGGGGGGGGAAGGAGGAGGCGGAGGAGGAGGAGGAAGAGGAGGAGGAAGAGGAGGAGGAGGAGGAGGAGGAGGAGGGAGGAGAGGTGGGGGCAGAAGAGGAGGCTCACTGGGACCAGGGAGGGAGCACCAGATCACCCGCGGGGGCGCGAGGATAATCGCGCTTCGCGCGCCGCGGTCTGGACGGGGCGGCTGCCCTTCTCCAGCGGGGCGGCGCGAGGGCGCGAAGAGAATCGGGGGGGACTGGGGAGAGGAGAGAGGGGATGGCATGCGCTGGGATAGCTGCGCATTGGCCCCGGTGTGCCAGTGCGTGACCTCGAGGTCACGCATTGGCACACCGGGGCCAATGCGTGACCTCGAGCTCGGCGGCGCCGCGACCCACCGGGGGGTGCGAGGCTTCTGCTCCAAGGCCGGCGGCATCGACGTGCAGGGGAAGAAGCTGCAGATCGCCACGGAGCTCTGCCCGCAGACCTGCAACAAGTGCGACGAGGCCCCGAGGGCACGGCGGAGGGGAAGGCGAGCAGGCGGTTGGGAGCCAGGGGGGTGGAGAGAGGGCGGGAATGTTCAGGGGCAACGTTCGTCAGGAGGGAAAAAACACACAGACACAATTAATCGTCGATTCCCCAGAAAATATGGGAAAATATGGGAAGTGGTGGGGAAGACAAAAAAAACAGGAAATATGAGAAATATGGGGAATTTGTTTATTTGTGTGTATTTATTTGTGTTTTTATTTGTGTGTCCCAGTGTGAGGGGCCTCGACCCCGATCGCCCACTGATCGCCGACAGGGGGCCCGACGGGTCACCCCGCCCAGCAGCGTGGGGTTCTGTGATCGGGGCCCTCTCGCCGATCTGGTTGCGATGTGTCGCCGATCCCGTCGCCCCCTGAGCCGGTCCGCCCCCCCATCGTTGCCCTCGCCCTCCGCCTTTCTCTTGTCTTCGCCAGGCTGCTGGGCGCCACGGCCCGCAGCGTCAGAATCCTCCTCCTCCTCCTCCTCCTCCTCCTCCGCCTCCTCCTCCTCCTCCTCCTCCTTTTTCCTGTATGGAAGGATTTCGGCATGCCACCGTGGCCGTGGCAGCCTCGGTCGGGCCCCACACGCGGCCGCGGCCGCGGCCGCCCGCCCCAGTGCGCCAAGAAGAAACGAGCCAGGCAGCGGAGGAGCGAAGGGCGACCCCGCCTCGCAGGCGAGGGGCCGTGGGTGCCCGAGAGACTTGGAGGAGGAAAGAGCAGCGATGCCGTTGCCCTTCCTTCGTTATCTCGGCGAGCGAAGAACGGTATAACATAAACTTTTTCGCTGTCGGGGGCGCCTGTCCCCGGGCGGCTGGAAAGTTTATACCCCTACGGTGCCACCGTAAGGGTATAAATTTTCCAGCCGCCCGGGGACAGGCGCCCCCCACAGCGAAAAAGTTTATTATATACCGTTCTTCGTTCGTTAATTATCGCCTTTCCGGGGCCTCCTGGGAGGCCCTCGTCGCCACGGCCGGATTCGCCTCGAAAGCTTGGTCAGGGCGCACTTTGGGAGAGGTCCAGGGAGTGGCGGTACCGGTGCTCTCTGGTTTCCCCCACGGCCCACGCTTTCTTCGCGAAGCTAGTGCTGCACCCCCCTTCCAAGGCCAGGGCACCCGACGGGCCCTCGAGAGCGTGCTGTCCACGGTTCCAGTTCAGGAAGGTTGGTTGTTGAGTTCTGACGCTTTCGTTCTGCGGTCCTGGTCCTATTATTAGCGTGCAGTTTGGGATACGCCTATACACGCTAAGTGCTCCGCATTTACTTTGCGTATCCTTCGTGGTTGGTAATCAGTGTGTGTCTATATTTATGTATATGTATATATATATAGATATATGTACTAAAGCAATGAACACATCAAACTAACAACAACCATACATACTAATACGAGTAATAATACATAACAAGAAACAACAACAAAAAACACACACACACACACAACAAAAAAAAAAAAACTCCCCCCAGCCACGGGTCCCACACCTCCCCGTGACATCTCGGGGACGTTCCTGGTACCCCGGTACCGCTCCCACGGCCTTTCCGGGGAGCCTCCACAGCGCTCCAGGAGGGCCCAAGACAATTCCCAGGAGCCCCCAGAATGCGAAAGTATGGCCCAAGACGTTCCCAAGCCGCCGAAGTCAGCCTTCCGACGGCTCTCGAGGCTCCCAGGTGGCCTCCAAGAGACCCCAAGAGAGGTCCGAGAGGCGTCCCTGGACGGCCCGAAGAGGCCAAAATCGTAGATTATCATTGGTTTTTCCCCCAAATGTTTGTGGCTTCTCGCGTTTTCGAGCTTCCAACGGTCCAAGAGCGCCGAAGAGGCTCCCAAGACCGCCCCAAGACCACCCACGAGACCTTCAGGACGGTCCCAACACGGGCCAAGAAGGATCCAAGACTGCCGAAGAGGCGCCCAGTACAGCCCCAGGCTACCCCACAACAGGCCCAAGATGGGCCCAAGAGCGGGAGCAGGAGGCTTCCAGAGATTTCCAAGAGGCCTCCGGGAGCCCCCAGAGGCCCCCCATGCAACCCGGATCCCTGAGAGGCCCCAAAACGACCCCGACGAAGCTCCAAGAACAGCCCAAGAGAGCTGCGAGAGCCGTCCCGCCAGAGCCCAAAGAGGGTAAAATCGTTGATTTCTAATCGTTTTCTGTTGTTTTTCGCCTTCTCACGTTTTCCCGCTTCCAACCCTCGAAGATCGAGCCCACTTTGAAAAATGGGAATTCTGGGAGGTCCCTGTCTTTTCAATTGGACTCCTGCTCGAAGATCCCACATCTCCCCTGACATCTGGTCGGTACCGCCCCTCCCGGCTTCCCAGGGGGCCCCCAAGATGCCCAAGAACAGCCCAAGACGGTTCCAAGGAGCCCCCAGAACGTAAAGAACGGCCCAACACGCTCCCGCGCAGCCCGAGACGCCCTTCCGACGGCTCTCCAGGCCTCCAGGAGGCCTCCAGAACCCCCAGGGGGTCCGGAAGATCCCACACCCCTGAGGGGCCCGGCTAACAAAACCCGCGAGGCACAAACAAAAAACAGCGCCGAACAGCGCCGAGGAACTCGAAAAAATTGAAATCCAACAATTCCATTGTTTTTCCAAGTTTGGCCCCCGGTCTAATCTTGCCTTTCAGAGCCCCAGGAACCCAGGAAGTTTTTCAGAGCTCCAAATCGTTGAATACCTAAAGGAAATGAATGATGTCTGCGTTTCCGCAGTTCCCCTTTATACGATTCCGAGGCTTGCGCAGGGCCTCCAAGGGAGTCCCTAGACGCAAGAAGCGACGAACATGAAATTACATGAGTTAGCCTATCAGGCCTAGCTGGAACTTGAGCGCGCGCGAAGCGCGCGATGGTTCTAGTGTATGTATGTATGTATGTATGTATGTATGTATGTATGTATGCATATATGTATATATACATATATACATATCTGTAGATCGGAGGGTTATTTCATCCGACCCTACTTAGCGTGTGCACCCCTGCGCTGCTTAGCGTGTCAACGGCTTCGGTTTCGCAGGGCCCGAAATCACACACACGCTGAGAGTAGGACCATGACCATAGGCCTCCCAAATGGTGTCAAAGTAGATGGTGTCGGAGAATCGAACCACATCGCCGATGCGCCGATTCATTGGCGATGCGGCTCGATGTGGAACCCGATATTCTTCACGCCAATGTCGCTGATGCATGGCAAACAGTCGCCGATGCATCGGCGATTCATCGGCGATGCATCGGCAAGGCGGCGCGATCCTCCGACCCCATCTACTCGGATCCCATTTGGAAAAGCTCGAACTTCGGGATGCAAAACGTGCCAAAATCCATGGGGGGCGATCCAGGAGAGCTGGCAGTTGGGGCTTTGCAACCCTTGAAGAGCATTACGGTATTCATGTCCGTGAATTTGGAAGTACGTGGGGGCATTGCGCTTAGTGCCAACGGCAGGATATCATAGTCAGAAGAGGTCCACTGATATAGAAGGGTCAGGCGCACAGGCGCAGCATTATAATCGTTCAAAGTTTCATTCGGCCATGCATGTTTTTGCGTTGCAGAGTTGGTTACCATAATTGGAACAGTTGGAAGATGCATGAGAGGATGGGGAATAGCTATACATGTTTGAATGGACGGCAGAGGGCTATTCGATGGAGGAGCTCGAACAACTTGAAGCGTGAATACAGTTGCAGTTTTTACGAGGATTTAGGCGAGTGGGGTAAGTTGAAGCTATAGCCCGATTCAAAGCCAATCGCACGTCGAACGTTGCACCCACCCACTCAACCTCATCACCTGAAGGTTGGTTTCATCGGCAGGTCTACACATGCCTTGAGCCCGTCCCGCGACCGCGATTGGGTTGGGGACTAGAGACTAGAAGCCCTATAGAGGCGTATTGACAGGCGTTTTGGAGGCCTCCGTGGCGCTTCTTGGCGTCCTTTACGGAATATGTTGCGGTTTCCTAGACGGTTTTGTGGTCTTTTGGGAGGAGTCCAAGAAGGTCTGGAGAAAAGCAACGTAGAAGTTCTCGGGATTGAGCTGACCCCCATTCTGGCGAGGCTCACGCTCTCAGGGATCCAGACCATCCACAGGGGCCTTGAGTGCGCACTGTCATCCCGTCGGAGGTCCTGAGTGCGAAGGTCGAGGATGCGTCTGTGCTCATTGTCGGCCTTGACGTTCCCCAGGAGGGGGGTCCAGGGCAGTCCGACTCCGACACCCGACACACACACACATTCAACCATCCCTCCAGACGCACACACCGCGCATCGCATCGCATCGCAATTGTCCTCCGGCGCGGTCATTGGTTGCAGTCCCCGTGTAAGCATGGCAATGGGAAACGTTGGCAAAGAACATGATCCACGTTTGCGGATGCGTGGCCAACGCTGAAGCCCCAGGAGAAGCCAAACGTAGTCGACCGTTGGGCAGCAAAGGTAAGGCGGTACATGAGACAAGTGGAGGCGGGGAGGCAAAACGTGAACGTCAAGGCGGAGAGGGAGAGTGGCGGAGGACACAGGGTCAACGGCGAGTTGAGGAGGATTCGCGGGAGGCACCAGCAGGGATACGGCAAGAAGCGAGGCTAGAGCGCGCATCAAAAGCGGCCGCAGGGTCGGGAAGTCGGACCAGCCTACCAGCATACAGTGCACATTTGGCGAGTGGTGAGCGAGGAAGGGGGCAGGACGTTTCACTCTGGCCGCCGCAATGGATACCTCAGGTGCGGCTGTTCCGAAGAAACTACACAGTCTCTTACTCACACAGACCACACACACACTTCTAAATCGGCAGCGCTGGCGGTCGCTGGCGCGGGCTCCAGTAGCAGCGGGGGCACACAAGCACACGCAGACACAATACACATTGTTCCTCAGACGGCGAGGTGACGACACCGTCGCGATGCGCTGAGCCGAGTCACGCTTAGACGGAATACTATTGGGCGTAGCATATGGCTGGACTGGATGCGTGCAGCCGCTTGCAGAAACGAGCGCAGAAACGCATGCACGCGAAACAAGTCGAAACTCATACACCAGATCGAGCAGGCGTGTGCAGCAGCAGATGTAGTGGGCGAGCCCGCCAGCGGTGCCAAGGCAGGGAGGGCAGCGCAGAGCGGCGCCGTGCGCGTCCAGATGGACCTCACCGCATAGACGTCCTCGTCGTCTGCCCTGCGCAGCGTCAGGCGGCCACGCTTGCGATCACAACGCAGCATCCGTGCGGCCGGCAGCCGGCGCATGGGGGAGGCAGACAGCCTTTTGGAGGGTGGGGTGGAGGCTATCGTATCCCACCCAGGGAAGGAAAAGAGCGGAATGGCATACCCACGCAAACATTTTTGGGCGCCGCGGCAACGCGCGCGCAGCGGCGCGGCGCAGTGCAGGTCGAGCGGACACACCCCCACACATGCACCCTCACGCGCGAGCGCGCCCACGCATGCACATTTCCTTTGCAAGTGCGGTAGTTGAAGCTGCCCCCCTCCAAACTCTCAGCACCAAATGGATGGTCTTACAAGTGTATGGATAGTTTGTTTGGTCGTCAGCATGAACACAAGCTCCAGTCACGGATTCAAGCCCAATTGGATCGGTAAGAAGGAACACGTTCGTGTTTGTTTTGTCCGTGTGAGAGGGTTTTCGAGCCCAAGCCGCTCAGCACGCCACAGTGACCGCCCCATCCCACGTCAGCTTAGCCTGGTTTCAACTCGAGCAGTTGAGGCAGACAAGCTTGTTGACTGAAACTTGGTTCGCGTTCGCTTTGCAGGAGACTGCAGCAGGTTCCGGGTTCATATCTACGAATCGCGCATAGGTTGTCAGGCGGAGGGAGGGAGGTATTTTGTAACATGCGTGAGTGCATAGAGAGTGCACAGAGCTTTCTTGCAGCCCCTGCACGGACGCACGAGCAAGTGGCACCAGGTCTACAAGAGTACGCCTCTCGAGGTGGGGAAGGCCGCCTGCATGGACAAGGTGCGCGGGGAGGGTGCTCGGCAGCTGCATAACTGCTGTCGCTTTGCTGCGGCTGCCGCCTTCTATGACAACTCCAGTCGTGCTGAGGAGTTGCCGTTACCAAGTCGTTGGCCCTTAGAGTCCGACCGATTCGAAGAGGAAGGAGGAGGGATACTGAAGGAGTAGGAGGGGGGGGGGCGGCGGCCAGCGGATGCGCTTCAGGGCGAGGAGGCTACTGCGACACACGCCGAAGTTGTTCTGTTCACGGCGTGCAGCCGCACGGGCTCATTCCCAGGTCCATTATTCTTGTGCCACGCCCGCTCTCCCTTTCAGGATGGGCGCCAACTCTCGCAGGCGATATTCCTCTTCCTACTACAGAGTTCCGCCCGACTCTCGCAGGCGATATTCCTCGTCCTACTACAGAGCTCCGCCCGAGAAGTTTGTCCGCCCAATACGGGGATAAACCTTGGGATACACCTCAAGGGACCATTCGTACGCACCCCGATCGAGGAAAGACGCCCCCCCATCGTATCTATCCCGGGGATCGGCCCAACATTCGGTGGTCCAGCCGAAAACCTTGCGAAGCCTGGCATATATCTGGAGGAGGAGAAGGAGGAGGAGGAGGAGGGGGAGGGAGGAGGAGGAGGAGGAGGAGGAGGAGGAGGAGGAGGAGGAGGAGGAGGAGGAGGAAAGGGGGGTCCAGCGCAGATCCAATCCGCGCGGACCTTCCGTCAAAGGCTTGTGTTCATGTGTTGCTTGTTCCTCGAAGGGAGGGGTGGGCGGGGCTCAGTTCGATTCCCCCGATTCGTTTTCGATTCCATTTCTGGTGGCGTCCGACTCAGATGTGATTCGACTTCGGGTTCCGATTTGGATTCCACTCTCTCCACTGAGGCCTTGCTAGCCTGCCGAGTTCTGCCGATTCAGCTTCTGCCGAGTTGTGGCGATCCGATTATTTCGACTTCTCGATTTGATTCTGGGCTCTCCTGCCAGGGAGGGGGGGCCGGTGGTTCCAAGATGGGGTTCTGAGCTTTGTGGGTCCCGGAAACGGCAGGGCCGTTTTTCACCGTTTCCAAAAAAATGTCCCTTGAAAATGGAAACGGCAAAAAAACGGCGACCGGAAACAACAAAAACACGGCTCCAGGATTGGAACCGGAGCCGGAACCGGTCAAAAAACGGCGACGGAACCGCTAAAAAACGGCGTCGGAACCGGCAAAAGAACGGCAAACAGGAACCGGTAACAAAAACGGGCCCTGTCGTTTCCAGGGCCCATTAAGGTCCTGAGAGATGGGGTCCTAAGTTTGCGTTGCGGCGCGCACAGGGGGTCTAACGAAGGGGGAGTGGGGAAGGCTTCTTGGAAGGAGGTTGCTTCCGAGGAGGCGCCGGCCTTTGTCTACAGATGTAGGGCCGGCGCCTTCTAAGACGCAGCCTCATTCTAAGAGGCCTTCCCCTCTTCCCCCTACTCCCCTGTGCGCGCCGCCAACTAAGGACAGGAAGGGATCCAAGAGTGGATTTGCATCGTTCGAGGCACCTCGTCCTCAGGACCCCATCCCTCAGGACCCCGTCTTTGGACCGCCGAGGTGGGGGGTCCCTCCCAAGGCAACTCCCTTGCTGAGCTCGCCCAGCTTCGAGGAAGCGCAGACATGGACCACGTCGTGTGGATCAGCGACGGGCCCCGTTTCCCTCAAGAATCGGCGCGCTCCGTCGCCACACGGTGCGGCACCTGGCTTTTGTGTTTCGGGGGGCAGCTCCCCCGATCTGTGGATCTGGCGCCCACGCGCCAGATCGAAGGATTCCTAATCCACATCAGCGCGCGCCCGAGCTGAGCGCGCATTCGACCACGACTGATCTTGCCTAGCTGGGTTCGCTCGGTTGAGCTCGCCAGTGACTCAGTCAGCCCTGTGAGTTTGCCCAGGGCTCACTTCGCCTAGCTGAGGTCGCTTGCGCGCTCTGGCTTGAGCCCCAGGCGCCGAGGGTGATACCAATATCGTGGTGGACCATATGTTGGTCAAAGCAGAGATGATTCGTGGAGCAGCGTGCACGTACTCAAAGGGCCTGGCAGCACGAAGTCAAAATTGAAAGCATTGTCCTGTGCGCCAGCGGCTTCGGCAGCATATTTTCGTTCCACTGAGCATCTTTCGGCACACGTTCTGACCAATGCAACAGCGTTGGAGTTCAGCATCTCGTTGAAAATGCTGGGCCTTCGGTGAAGGCCGCGTGAAGGGCACTCCCGCATGCTTGAATGTAGATTTCTTCAGTCTGGTATGAAACCGCTGGTTGCCTTATTCTTCACAGCGTGCTCGAAAGCACTTGGCGTGGGAAATGTGTCCTTGACCGTGGAGGCCGTAACTATATCAAGTTGCCGCGCCTCTTCCGTATTCGTGAGCGGTGGCACCGGTGGGACGTTTTGTTTTGGTGAGGGTCGGGAGGACGAGGCGAAACGAGTTGAATGAGATGGCATCTTCGTGGCCTTTGTTTGTACCGAGTGGCGATCTCAACGAGATACGCTTTCTTCTGGGGATACGTGTGCACCACATGTGGTTGGTTCTTTGGCCAGCCCGTCAGCGCATAGTAGTAGACATTCAAAGTGGCGCCGACGTCCCCGAAGTGGACGAGGACTACCTACTGCAAATCCGTTGGAAGATCTTCTTGGAGAGGCGGGAAGGTTTGACTTACTGTAGGTTGGTTCGTTCACAGCCTCAGCGGCAGTGTGGCTTGATGCTGAGTTCTGCCTGTTTTGGCGCGTTGTGTTTTCTCAGTGGACGGGTGATTCCGTTTCCATTTTCTTCTGCAATGATGCGTCTTTTTAGTGTTATTCTTCCTCCTGGGTCAGCGGTTTCATCGCTGAGATCTTTTGCCATCAGTGGGGAGTTGACGCTTTTCATGTCGAGCTGTTTCGGGTGAAGGGATTGTTGTGAATTGGGACAGCGGTCGTGGGCATTCACTCTTCATCGCGAATTGCAGCCAACTTGCTGGCATCGTCATGCATGCAGTGTTTTGAAATATCCGCATGTGACACGATCTGTGTTGGGACGTAGTGAATATTGGTTGGCGTTTGCCGTGCGATTGCGATGACACCAAATGTTGGCATTTGCACTGGTGGAGAGAGCTGACTACATCGTAATTTTCACAATGGTCGAGAACACGCAACGGTACCAGTATGCCAGGTTTGTCCAGTTGAGCCAGTACATTTTGGCACAATTGGGCAGCACACGGACTAATTCGTGCCAGCGTGGTGTGTTGAAGTCTGGGTGCGACGTGGTCAGTCGGTTGCGCAACCAGGTTCACGATCGCAGGGGCGTTGATCGCGATACCCATGTCTTACGTCAGAGTTGCCGCCCTGGCCGTCGAAGAAGCAGCACTGGCCGTGACGAACATCATGTGTAGTCGGCCTTTGCAGCAGCAGCAGCAGCCTTGTTTTCATTGTCGTACCTTCCGTGTCCACTGTGCAGTTTTGTAGTTCCAATCGTGGCACGACCAGTCGGTAGCACACAGCGAGTGTGTTAGGTTGCGCGAAGCCATGAACATTGAATTCTGCCAGGATGGCTTCGCCCAGAGTTGCGCTCGCCTGGCTGAACTGGTTCCACTGTAATTGTTGGAGCTTGGAGGAGTTCAGCCCTTGGGTTTCGAACCATGGGGCTATCATTGGCCGCTTCCTCCAGGTCTGTGCTTACGTTTGCTTCATGCTTGACGGGGGTCTCTGCCCCGCTCTCTGGATACGTGCAGGCTCGCTCTCGACGCGTCCTGCACCATTCACGCACCTACCTCGCCACTTCATTCTGCCAACCCAGGGAACGCCTGCCTGCTCGTGCACGATGCGTGCGTAGGAGAGCCGTTATGATGATGATGATGATGATGATGATGATGATGATGATGATGATGATGATGATGATGATGATGATGATGATGATGATGATGATGAGGGCCATACTGATGCTGAAGATGTTATTGGTGACGATGTTGCTGATTACGGTGGTGATGATGCCGATGGTGTTGATTGTGATCGTGATGTTGATGATGATGATGAGGATAAGGGTGATGATGAGTATGAGGTTTTCGATGCTGGCGTTGATGATGTTGCCACTGATGATAATGCTGATGACGATGGTGCTGATGATGTTGATGACGGTGGCGGTGCGATTGGTGATGGTGCCGGTGATATTGACGTTGGCATTCGAATTGGTGACCTAATTGGCCAGGATGGCGATGATGTTGTTGTTGATGATGATGGAGATGGTAATGGTAATGGTGATGGTGACGATTATGATGCTTATGCTGCTGATGATGTTGCTGCTGATGATGATTGTGATGCTGTCGGTGATGATGATGGTGCTGATGA